TCGAAAACACAGTAAGACTAATGGTGATTACTGTTTTTTGTTTGTTTGTTTGTTTCTACCTTTCTTTGTAGCTTGATGATTGGGTGTTATGTCGAATATACAAGAAAAACAACACACATAGACCAATAGATCACGATAGAGATGATTCTATGGATGATATTCTTGGATCAATACCGCCTTCGATACTGGTTGGTAACCATCAGAATGGAACGCTTCATCTTGCTAAAGGCACAAATTATGAGACATTGCTTGACAATGACCATAATTTATTCGAAGGAACAATAAGCAGCAATGACGGCATCAGAAGCAGCAGTTCTATGTCTCACGTGGCTTCTACAGTATCCAAGCCAGATCACCTACCTAGGCTTCCACTCAAAAGAACACTCCCATCACTGTATTGGACCGGCGAAGACATGGCTGTCCCTTCATCAAGTAAGAGATTTCAAGGGGATATTAATGGAGATGAAAGTGTTGTGGGGAATGGTGGGAACGGTTCCATAGTTACTCCTCTCAGTCAACTTCCACAGACATCTCAATTGCACCAACAGACAATGCTGGGGTCTATGGGAAATGGAATTTTTAGGCCACCATATCAAATTCCAGGCTTGAACTGGTACTCTTAAACTGATCTTAATTCATTGGTCTATGCATATATTATATTTAGACCTATGAATCCATTCCCAGTGGATAATATGAAGCATTCAAATGGTGTTCAAGTTATATGCTTGTTTATATGGACGGTCGTCGATTGATCAGTAGTTGTATCAGCTTTCCATTGGGAGTACTTTGAGATTTTGATTGTTAGGAAGAGATTAGAGAGTCATTCAGTGGCCTCCAGTTTCTCCAAATGAAACATGTAGCTGCCAATTTGAAGCGAGGCCGTAGATACAATACATATAGATAGAGATATTTATATATAGTTGCATATATATATATTCTGTAAATGTTTGCTCTTGTTATATTGTTATTAAGGAAGCAAAGAAAAATAGGAGGTGGGATCCTGATATGGAAAAATAAAATTGTTGATCAGTGATATATGTATATAAAAAATTGTTCTGCTTTACGATTAAACCTTGTATGCACAACAGTTTATATTTATTAAAAGTTTCTCGATTATTCCAATAATATTTATTATTGGGCATGGTTTGCCTTTGTTTTATATTTTTGTTCATCTTGATCATTTGATAATTAAGCTTGTGCAATGAGTAGCTTTTATTGCTCAGTGATGCTTGGCGTTGAAAGATGGCATGCTTGACTCTTTTGCATAGTTTTTTGTTGAATGCATAAACCCTAGAAGGTAAAAGTTCTTAGTTCTTTCGGTTACTTTATCTTTTCCAGCCATGTTCATGGTTGTGAAGAATCTGTAGAGAAGCATGTATGAATTCTGATTATGGCACTGGTATAATTTTCTTATGGGTTAGTACATATTTTTTGGGTTTGTAGCAAATCTGGAACACCATATTTCTTCGGAAACTTCATTTGTTCTTGGATTTTCCTTTTTTTCTTCAAAATACAACTTATTGCAAGAAAATAGTTCGAGAATTTGTGATTACTATCTTCCATGCTGGAGCATACAAATCCTGAGAAACTTGATAAATTTTCTAGAATGGAATTATTTCATTCAACTGTTTATAATAAGGACAAGAATCATTAGCATTTATAAGCGAATATTTAATCATTGTCTGAGAAATCAAGAAAAAGAAAACAAACGGGCTAATACGATTGAAATGGACCGATCTTAATTAATTACTCTATTAGTGACTTGTTTTTATTGTTCTTGTCTAGCTCTATGGTCTTGGAGTCCCTCTACCAGCTTATTTTATTACTATTGATCAAATAGAAACTGATTAATACATAACAAAAATTGTAGATGACACAAAGTAATACAATGTTGGTGATGTATCAGCTGCAGATGTTTAATATACTATAGGAACGTGACAAGATTAATTGACACACATTGTTGTCGCATGAGAAAGGTTGATGATCTCGTGAGCAATAAGCAAAAACAAAACAAAAAAATTGATAAGTCGAAAATGAAGTTTACTGACCTCTTCTTTGTTCTTCCTTGCGCAAAACTATCAAAAAATTATATAACTTAAGGACTAAGGTATGTCTTAATGCTGACTTCACAATCGTGAAAGTTATTTGCACAAACAAATACCAAGATTTGTTATTTTCTCAAGAAAAAAAAAAGGAAAGAAAGAAAGAAAGAAAGCTAAGATTTAGCTTGTTTGGATTGTATCTATACACATCTCTTAATTTCTTGAAAGGTATTCATGGATAGTTCCTTGCAAGAATTTTCCATCAACTTTAATTTGTATGGAAAGCTATGGAGTCTGTGGACATGACAGAGCTTTCAGGTATATGTTTCTACAGAGTTAAAGCAGCTGTAGCAAGGTATCGAATTTACAGAAAGTTGATTTTCATTTATTCTAAGAATTAATTAAATATATTGTATCTTTGGTCTAATCTCCAAAAGAATGCTAGATATTTGAGGGTGGGTGTCCTTTTCTTGATTTCATCCCCCAAGTGATGAATGAATGATTAGACATAGCTCGCAAAGTATATTCCATGACCTAGAGGCGAAGGTCGCACAAATATTGACAACAAGAGGCTACCTGACAAATGGCTTTTATCTTGCTGACTATGGGGCCATCTCACCATCATCAAAAGGAATCATTACCTTAGAACCACACAAAATTATTATATCCTCTAATTGCATTCCTTTCCAAGGAAAGAGTACAGAAAAACTTTACAAAGAAATCAATTTATTACTGCTTAGTTCTGGAATGTAAATTGATATTTTGACAGAATTTTCCATTATCGTTGGATCCGAATCTCTTTTTTAGGATTATGCTTTCAATTAATTAGGCCTTGAAAGCTTTGCAAATATGATTTAGAGATGAATACTAGTTATAATTAGCTTCCACGATAATCTTTTTTTGACATGCATGCTTACATGTGGATTTCCTGTGATCGATGCTTTAAGAACATGAAATATTAACAAGTTGAGTGGTTAACTATCAACTTATGAGAAAGAAAAGAGGGGGCAGTCCTTTTTTCTTTCTTTGATCAGAGAGGTCTTCTTGCACCCAGGTCTTTCTCTCCGAAAAAAAAAATGGCCATTTTCAACGTAGATATGCAGTGATATTCAGGAATGCTGTTTCATTTTCATAAATGAAGGTACCGAAAAGGATGGGGTTCTCATTGATGAGGCCATGGCCAGCCAACTAATATTCTATACAATCTTTAGGCCCATGATTGAGCTTGAAGATCTGTCAAGAGGGATTAACATCTTATTTTATCTGCGACCCACAAATTGACAGATGCTTCCCAAGCTGTTCCAGGCAGCTGAAAAGTACTCTGGACCATTGATGATTTCTAGTTGACAAGGGCCAAGTTGCCCCATTATCCTAGCTTGTTATGGCAAATGGTAGGCAGCAACGTCTAGCTCATAGTTGAACATTTAGCCATGCCCCCACAGAGAAAAAAAGGCAAGAAGATCAAGCTCATTAATCATATTTGTCAATCGTCATCATTACATGAATGAATAAATAATTGAGGATTTGGGTTGCATATAGCTGGCAGTGGGTTGGGCTTGGAACAACCGCGGGTACATATGTCATTCTTGGTGTATCATGGTAAAATGTTACAGGATAATTTTCAAGAGTTTTTTTAATTAAAAATATATTAAAATGATTTTTTTAATCAAAACATAAAATTATTGAAAAAAACTAAAATATAATTTGAAAAGCATAAACTATAATGTCAAATGGCTGGAAACTTCATTTAAATACTCTATTACAAATCTATAAGCAAATTCTCTTGAAAATAGCATGTTCCTATGGGGAAATAAAAAAAAAAAAAAAAAGAGAAAAGAACAAATTCTCTTGAAAATAACATGTTCCTATGGGGAAATAAAAATAAAAAATAAAAAGAAAGAGAAAAGAAGAAGCAGCAGCGCAGCAGGATGCCAGATATGTTTGGTTGAGCTCATGCAAACACCTGCCTACCCTGATGAGAGTCGGCGGCCTAGCGGGCCCATTGGGCTTTACTGAGAAAATTTCTTCCGAATTTGGGATACAAGAGAAATTAAGAGGTCACTGAATCATTTACAAATAAAGTGTCGATTAGAAGTTTTAGAAGCGGTTGAAGTTGAATTATACTATGAAAATACCAAGAGATTTCAATCAGGCGAGGTGTTTACTATAAAAAAAAATTTTTAAAAAAAAAGTTGAGGTGTTTAATAAACTAGAATGCTTGGAATCCAATTTACTTGAGTTCTTGAAGAAACAATCAAATGTTAGAATATTTTGTTACATTAAAACACTTTTTAATGACAAAAAGAAACAGTTCATGTTTTTCTAAGATTAATTCTCTTTCATTGATTCTTAGTACGGTTTTTTTAATTATTAAGGAAAAACATGCAATTGTTTTAATGTCAAGAAATCCTTAAATTAATTTTTACATATTGGTGGTGAGTCATTTTCTAGTCATAGCTATAGTTAGATCTCTTAAATGATGCGTTAATGGGGGAAAAATTCATTTTTGAAAAAAAAAATCAAAACTAGAACAATAAATAATAAGTTAAAGTAACATTGGGGTTAATTTCCTCTCTTTTTGAGAGATCTGATGAAATCCCCTTTGTAATAAAAAAAAAATCTGAAATGATAACATGAAATAAAATTAATTATCATTTACATTAAACTCTCCAATGGTTATATATAGAAAAACAAGCAAATGAGATTCCGTAACTTTCCTTGAAGTTATTCGTCATTATATATATTAAATCCCTTTAAAACCGAATCGGAGAAGGGCGTAAATATCACTAATTAAGAAAAAAAAAAGAGTAAAGAAACTAGAAGAGGAAGAGGAAGACGAAGAAGGTTCCATTAGTTGGAGTTGGTGCTTGTGAGTGCTTGTCAAGGAAGCCACTGATATTCCGCGTAAAACAATGTGGTTTGACAAGTAGTCCAACATTTGAAAGTCAAAAACAAAGGTTTGAATCCATCAAGTCTCAAATGACACACTACCAAGTGTTTAACAAGTCAAGGTCTTCTTGCCAAGCCAACCATATGGAATCATGAGAAAAACTTTAAGAACAGCCTTGTCAAGGCATGCATCATTGCATTTCTGTATAAAAAGCTTTAACATGTGATAAACCAACTGTGGCAACGCAATTCTTCGCATAGCCAGCTCAAGATCATACCTCTCTCTCTCTCTCTCTCTCTCTCTTTCTTGGCTCACAAAATGGAATCCATGTCTCAGAAACAGGCTAGGGGAAGGTTACAGCTTCCAACAAGACAAGCACATGGTGAGGGCAGTAGGGTTAGAAGAAATAATCAAGTTGTATCAATACCTCCTAGGCCACGCTCAACTTGTACTTGCTTAAACCGTCCGGGGTCGGCCAGGTGTAGCAAGCATGGCTACATGGTGCCCGGTGACAGGTTGATGAGAAGACATCAAGCAAATAAAGAGATATTAAGAAGGGCATTAGCACCACCAAATCGGAGGTTAACCCTTCGGTGGTTTACCTTCCGGCCAACGCCTAGTCGGCTTTCTAACATGTCCATGGCCTAGTTAATTTGCAATATCTTGCTTCGTCTTTTTTCTTCTTTCGCGAGGGAGTTTGAACAGATGGCTGTTCTGTATTTTTCTCAAAAAACGATTTTGTCTATATGTGAACTAATTAACAGCAGTTCTTTTTCCTTTTTAAACATCTTATGACTACTACATTAATACGGCATCGTTGTTTTTCAAGCTTCTGGGAAATCATATATCTGCTTGGATAGTCGATGTAATCTTGACACTTTCATACGGTATTGGTATGCTTCGTTGAATATTCAACTGAGAATGATTAATGAATTAGTTCTTGAAGTTGTGTTGAATTTAGAAATTCATAAGGCTGACCTTTTCTTGGTGTTAAAAGGAGGGATGATTTGGTATTCTCCAAATTTCATTAAGAGAAGAAAAATCCCAGAATATAATAGTAAAAGCTAAAAATTATTGAAGTGCTTTTTCAGTGCATTTTGAAGATGGCATGTGAAAATGCATGCAGCCACAATGTGTACGGAATCATGATCTAGCTGGATTATAGCAGTGGACGCGTTTTGAAGTCAAAAAGATACAAAAAAAAAATACACACACATATAATTTAATTTTTTTATTTTTACTTTAATATTTTTTTATATGTATTTTCAGATTATTTTAATATGATAATATAAAAAATAATTTAAAAAATAAAAAAATATTATTTTTAAATATTTTCAAATATAAAACATTTTAAAAAACACTAGTTACTTACACTTTCAAACATTTTTTTAATCCATTCTTTTTTTATGGTTTTTTTATGTTTTTTTCAATATTAGTTTATTTTATTCTTCTATTTTTTTATTATTAATATAAGTATATATATATATATATAATTTTTTTTATTTTTTTACTTCAATTTTTTTTATGTATTTTCGGATCATTTTGATATGATAATACAAAAAATAATTTAAAAAATAAAAAAATATTATTTTAATATATTTTCAAGTAAAAAACATTATAAAAAATAACAGCTACTACACTTTCAAACATCTTTCTAATCTATCTTTTTTTATGGTTTTCTTATATTTTTTAATATTATTTTATTATTTTTTTAATTAGTTAAAGCCAAGTGCGAATATTATATTTTATTATTATTATTAATATAAAAAATAACAGCTACTACACTTTCAAACATCTTTTTAATCTATTTTTTTTATGGTTTTCTTATATTTTTTTTAATATTAGTTTATTTATTTTTTTAATTAGTTAAAGCCAAGTGTGAATATTATATTTTATTATTATTATTAATATAAATATTTAAATTAATTTATACATATTTCAATTAATTTTATAAATTTTAAAATTAACCTAGCACAAATATTGTATTATTTTGATTTGCAATGTTGTTATTTGTCTCAGAGAATCAGATTCAGTATCAATTAATTATTGATGGTCAGGGTTATCATGAGCGATAATAGAACCTACTCAATTGTCTGGATTGTTGGAATGGAGACAGGCAATGAATCATTCAATCAAAAGTCAATCATCTAGGTGGTGGATGGTGACCAAGTAGTAAGGACTTGGAATCAAGAGGTTTGTTCCCTCTGTGTTCTCAGGTTCGAGTCCTTCTAATTATTGTTTTTTTGCGTTAGAAAGAAGAAACGAATAACACGTAATTGATGGTCAGGGTTATCATGAGTGATAATAGAACCCACTCAATTGTCTGGATTGTTGGAATGGAGACAAGCAATGAATCATTCAATCAAAAGCCTCTTATGTCCCAGCTGCTCTATCATCGACTTTCTTCCCTTCTCTAATAGCACTGCGACTGCAACTCGTTTTCTTTCTTATGGACGAGGGCAACTGTGGTTGCAGATATTCATCATTATATTTGTTAACTGTGCCTGCAGATTTGAGATTGAAGCTGCCATTGGAATGGTGGGTTTTGAAATTGTATTTCATTTGGGTGATCAGGCATTTCTTTATATATGCTTACCTGGTAAATTCTTCTATATTTCATGGAAACTTTCCATTACTATGATTTTTACAGCTGTTAGGAAGTATCTCAAGAAGAGTATAATAATCATCAATAAACATAAATACGCAAGGTTGCAAGATGCGTGGGGTATATACGATAGCCAGTCTGTCCAGCAACTTTCGGCATTGCAATTCTTGCATCATCAAGATATGGTCACGCTGTGGTCTCCTCTGTCAAAGCCCTCATGACTGCATTGAGCTGAGCAACTATCCCGTTTTCTATATTGCTCGTAATTTTTTGCACTTCATCTACTCCTGTGAAGAGAAAAAAAATGGGTGAGAAAAAGAGAAGACAACTTAAAGCATATCATAACTTCTTGTGCAGCCATTGGTATGTCCAAATAAGACAGTATAAAACAGTTGTGCGGTATACCTCAGGGGAACCTTTGGACAGAGAACTGGAAGACGCTTCTACTGTTGCCTCTGATATTCGTGCTTCTGATTTCTCGTTTGAATAACTACCAAAGAGGAAAAAAAAATCAGCAGAAAAAAAAATTCCTTTCATCACCAGACCAAACAGGGTAAGGACAGAGAAGACTTTGCTGTGCCATGTCATGTTAAAGAGCTTCTTGTGCTCAGGGAGATGCGTGGTCCTCCGTGTCCACTTCTCCAACCCAAAAGCATAGACTTATGGGTTCATCTTATATACAAACACTTTGCTTTTATATTTATCACTCATATTTGCATCCAACATGTCAAGACCACTGGGCAGAGTTTGGCATAACTTCTGCTTCTACTTTTAAGTGTTTTTCAAAAGTATTTTTGGTTCGAAAAAGCATCAAATTAATGTTTTTTTTAGTGTTTTGTGATGGTTTTGATGTGTTGGTGTCAAAAATTTAAAAAAAATCAGAAAAAAAAATCATTTTGATGCATTTTCAAGTGAAAAACTATTTTGAAAAGTACTCTGCACCACAATTCCAAATACCCACCTGCTGGAAGATTCTAAATAAATTTCTAGCAGAATTGTAGGAGGGACCACTGGAGATCTCCAAACCAGAAATTCATGTGAGAAAATTAGGAAACAAAAAACTTATATACATCCATATTTCACTCGGAAATATTTAGTGTATCAAAATTGTCTCTAAGAAATAATAATAAATAAATAAAAAGCGTATCTCAGTTGTGTAATCGAAATATCCAGTGTGTTCGAATAACTGGGAATTGTAACTGTTAATTATTTATCTAGCATGCGTTTCCTAATCAGATTTCCTATGAAAAAGAGTCCATTAATGTCTTTCCAGTCTTCATTACCTAATGTATGACAGTTCAGAAGAAATAATATGCTACTTACGTGGAGAGTATGGTCACCCAGATGAGTTCTACACAATCCACCCAAAGGAGTCTTTGTTCTACAGGAATCACACCATATGTAATAAGATGAGCAAACGGCCAAAGCTTCCATCCTGCCTGCACAGCAGCCCACATTAAACAGTGCAAAATTAAGCCAAGTTGTTAGCAAGAAAAAACTAACTACTAAATTCATGTGTTTGATCCAATAGTCCAAGTAATAAACAAAAACCAGACTTCAAACACATAATTCGACTTAGATAAACTAAAAACGAAAATGCTCCTCACCACTTGACCATTTTGAACAGAAAATCAACAAATTTGAAACTTGTTGAGTTGATGCTTGTCAGTTATAAAATAATGCGTGCGCTCATTAAAGATTTAGAATGTTTGCAAACTAACATTTAAAATTATGAATAGAAGATAGAGCCATACAAATGAGACCAGCATGCATATTAAATTCATGGGTATCAAACATCCAACTATTAATGCAGAAAGGAAATATTCAGAACCAGTAATGTGGTTTTGCCAGATAGCAGTCTTTCTAACTCCATTACCAAGTGATAATAAGAGCAAACACTAGATCAAAGTTTGGTTCTGGACAAAAAGTGGAAAGGGAAGAAGGTTCCCTTACTGTAAGCATCGGCCAAAATGTAGCTGTCAGTTCACTGAAAATGCTGGCGGGAGATTCCAGACGCAAGAATCCCAACACTGTGAAATAAATGCTGTTCCAAGCTGCTGCCCACATGGTTTGGTCGAAGGCCACTTTGGCAGGAACCACCCACCAATCTTGGAATGGAAAAAGCTCCTAGAAGACAGTAAATTGATTGAGTAAATCACTGAATACATCATTATGCCTATTAAACTTCAAAGGAAACTTGAAGTACGTTAATCACCTCGCAAAACTGGTAATAGTAATGTGAAAGGGAGCCGTGTAATGTAAAGCCAACAATGCCTGATCTAAACATTCTTGTGCGGTCAAACTCAAAAATTGGTTTACCTTCATAGCACTGAAGATGAAACAGAAACAACCAAGTAAAAGGATGTATACACAAGAAAAAATAGAATATCACAACATTGGTTTCACAACATTTACAAACCTGTGCAATCCAATCTCCAACGGAGTAGACCACACCACTAATCATCATTTTCGCTAAAACTGGGTTTGTCTTTAGAGCTTCCTCATAAGCAGACCAGTTGTGTTGAGGTGCGTATCTTAATATTTCAAAGAGTGTCCACCCCTAGTAGAAAAGTGAAAAATAGATCTTGAAGATCTAGTTGATAAACAACTACAGAACTTAGGAATACAAAAAGACATCAAGAAAACAGAAAACACATCCAATTATGTCATTCTGCAATGCTTACGGAAAAGAGAAAAAAGAAAAGTTAACATCAATAGCATGCAACATCTTAAATTTAAAACACACCAAGAAGGATTAGATGGATGAATTAAAACAACCAGAATACCAATTAAGGGTTTTAATCAATCTTCTGTACAAGAAACCAAGAATTCTCTCAAGTCTCAACTCCTTAATATCAAGCTGCGTATCTTTGTTTGACCCGTAAGTCAACTTTATCACCATAACCACAATTTTCTAGCAGTCTTAGCCTCCTAGACAAAGCCTTCAGCTTCCACAAAAAATCAGATCTGAATTGCAAAAGATTTGAATTGCAAAAATTGAACAAAAGGCCACAAATCCAAAGCTAAAGGTGAAAGCCACAAAAATCATATTGCTTCAAAGCCAAGAAAAGGGAAATTAACTTGAAGCTACTTTTATTTCTCAAGAAAAGCTAAGCATGAAGAACAAATTTCATAAGTAGCATGAAAACAACAAAAACAAAACTCTAAACAACATATAAAGCAACCAATTATGATTTGATTTGTTCTAAAGACGCATAATAAATAAGCTTTTACTTACGTGCCAGTAATCATGGTCAATTGTCAGCAACTTGGTTATGGCATAAGTACCAGCAGCAAGAACAATCGTTGCATTGATGGTCCTATCAATTAGCCTCTCGGACTCCAATTCCCTCTCTCTA